TTTGAGATGGAGTCTCTCTCTGTCACCCAGGCTGGAGTGCAGTAGCGTGATCTTGGCTCACTGCAACCTCTGCCTCCTGGTTCAAGTGATTCTCCTCCCTCAGCCTCCTGAGTAGAAGGGATTACATGTGCCCACCACTGTGCCCAGCTAGTTTTTTTATATTTTTAGTAGATGCGGGGTTTCACCATCTTGGCCAGACTGATCCTAACTCCTGACTTTGTGATTCACCCTCCTTGGCCTCCCAAAGTGCTGGGATTATAAGCATGAGCCACTGTGCCCAGCCGCAAAGATTTTTTATTGAATAACTTACTCTAAATCTGCCACCTCCCTGACAGTTCATTTTGGAGCCTTTCTTACCATTGTCTATTGCTTGCTTTAAAAACAAAATTAATTTTTTTTTCTGAAGCAGAGAAAAAGGCTGTATCTTTGTAAGAAGTTTCTGGTATATTATAATTTCTATTCTGTTTTCATTCTTACTTAGACCTTAATGTTTTGCTGTTAAATCTCCAAATATTGTAATTCTTTCTTTTTCTATCTATACTATTTCTGGAATCAGGCAGAAACGACATCACTAACCAGGCTCTCTTGCCTACCAGATTCCATACCTATGCTAGTAAGATTATTCCTCCTTGCCCTGATTTCTTAGCATCTAAAGTTTGTACCTAGTTGCAACTCAAGTCTCAGATTCAGTAGGCTAAGGAGTTTACACGAGACTACGTTAAGTTCATGTGAGATTTGTTTTTAAAAATCATATTTTTTTTAAGAATTTGACTGTTAAGGGAAGAACACAGATAGGAAAATTAGCCAGCAGAGGCTTTAAGGGCAAATCCACTTCCATTTGTGAGATGGAAGGAATTTAATATGTGGGGGAAGTGGAGAATTAGAATAGCAGAAAGAAAGAAAGAAATAGAGGAGAAGGAGAAAATCACTAAAGGAACATCATCTCTGAAAAAGTATGAGGAGACAGAACTCAGAACAGAGGTGGAAGCATTTGCCTTCAACAAGAAAGGGAGGGTCCTACAATCACACAGGCCTACTCTTCCTTAAAGAGAGAAAGAACGGATTTCCCTCCCAGGAGGATTTTCCAGTTGGTAATGACTGGCTTGGGACAGGGATCACCTTTAATTTAATATTAAAGTTTATTTGAACTGATTTCTAAAACAACTTAGAGCCATATGAGAGATAACACATTTAAACAAAAAAGTAACCAAATTCTTAAAACACAGATTTAGAACAGCTAGATAACAATTGCTAGAGAGATGAATTAATTTATAGCATCTATTGTCACTGTCATCCATGAAAACATTTCAGAAACAAACAGGAGGTCTGCCACTTACTTCTACTAAACGCTTCATATCTTTGCCGCTTTTGATTTTCATGTTTCTATTTTGGTATTTCTGACATCGTAAGTTCAAATGATACAAAACAAAAAGGCAACTCAGTCACAGAACTCCAACTGCAAAGTAGAATGTACATTTTTGCAATGGGGGACAAAAATGGGGGTCTTAAATTTGAAAGGATTTATAATCCAGCTATAATTAATTAGCCATATAAGTGAACATTTAAGTAAAATCTCATGGAATTAGGATAAGAGTGCACACGATATGGCTCAGTTGAGCCTGGAGATAGGCTTTAAAAATACAAATCAACAATTTTAAGAAGATTGGACTTTTAGAGGTAACACTTGTTCTGAACTGATATCCTTGGGGGTTATTCAGATCAGGAATGATTCAAGGGTTAGCCAGATCTACAAAGACAACTGCAGACACAAACAAATTCCCAGAGCTTCTACCAGTCCAGCTCTGTGTTCTTGGGACCAATCCAGAAACAAACAGTCTACAGGGGTGGGCGTCAGAACTGCTCTTTGCCAGATGGTTAACTTCCTGGAGTTCTACTCAGAGTTGGCTCCCAGCATGATTCATCCTGACAGTACTAAAAAAATAGCCAAACTGCACAGATGCAAGACACTGAAAGTCCCCTAAAGAGCTCAGCTTTTCTGCACAATGAAGATAAGGAGGGGTTTAATTTTATCACATTAAATAGTATTACCTGAGCTTCTTGACAGGCTGCTCTCCTAAGCAGGTTATCACTATCAAAGTAAGCAAAAGAGAATAATCATTAGCTTTAGTAGATTATGATCCAAACCAAATCTGTGAGTTTTTAAATTTTTTAATATATACACCTCTTCTCTAAAAACACCTGAGTGAAAGTTTCCTAAAAACCTGATAACAAGTTATGGGGACATTTGAAAAATACATCCTCTGAATAAAAGTTTGTATTAAATATTTTCATATTATGGTAACCAGAATAATGCCCCATCCCCCCAAATTTTCCACATCCTAATCCTCAGAACTTGAGGATATGCTACTTTACATGGGAAAAGGGATTTTTATGGACATGATTAAATTTAGGGACCTGAGATGGGGAGACTGTCCTGGATCATCCAGACGGACCCAACCTAACCACAAAGGCCCCAAAACAGAGAAAGTTTCCCAATTGTGATCAGAGGCAGATATGATTATGGAAGAATGGTCAGAAAAATGCAACCTTGCCACCTCTGAAGGTGGAAGAGGGCGCTGAAGCGAGTCAAGGAATGTGGTAGCCTCCAGAAGCAGGAAAGCAAAACAATTCTCCCCTAGAGCCTCCAGAAGGAACACAGCCCCTGCCACACTCTGTCTTAGCCCAGTGAGAGCTGTTTTGGACTCCCAATTCACAGAACCAAGACAAGAATCTGTGAACCACTAAGTTTGTGGTAATTTGTTAAGGTAACAATAGAAAACTAATATACATATCCTGCATTTTTCTTACCCAGTGGAAATTAGGTCATTTGCCACAAGTAAATTTGATGTTTAGTTTTTTTCTACTGTTTTATCTAAATCACTTGTTTTTTTTAATCACCGTCAGACACTAAATAAGATCATAAAGGGACAATTTTGTCATGAGGCAAAATTTTAGCTTCCAAAAATGAAAGCATTGTGTCAGAATATGATCACCTATTTAACATCAAGGTCTCTAAAATATGTTTATACCATAAAAGCACTTTAAATGGCTCCAGTCACCTACGGGCTCCAGAATCTTCATCTAAGAGTTTGTGCTAATGCACATTGCTGACATTGCTAAGATAGTAAGTTCAACTTGGTTAACAACAGTAAAGAAATCAAATACCTAGAAAAGATGAACAATAACCAATTTATAAGAAAACCTAAAAAAAAAAAAAAAAAGGTAATTTTGCTTGTATTCTTTCTAGACTTTTAAAAAAAAAAAATTGAAAACTTTAAATTTTGCATTTTCACAGTAATTCAAATGGGATTTTGACATTTACAGTGAATGAAAAGGAATAAGTAAGCTTTGCTTTTTGCCAGAGTTGCTGTCAAAGGCTGCTGGCTCAGTGATTCCATAGCCAGGCTGCAGAACAGCCCCTGAATTCCACAAAGCAGGCGGCTTCACTAAGAGAACATTATCCACAGGGAAGTATTGATTCTGTGAATCTAAAACCTAAGAACCAGCCAGACATGGTGGCTCATGCCTGTGATCTTAACCCTTTGGGAGGCTGAGGCAGGCAGATCACTTAAGGTCAGGAGTTCGTGACCAGCCTGGCCAACATGGTGAGGCCCCATGTCTACTAAAAATACAAAATTAGCCTGGCGCATGCCTGTAATCCCAACTACTCAAAAGGCTGAGGCAGAAGAATCCCTCGAACCTGGAAGACGGAGATTGCGGTGAGCCGAGATCGTGCCACTGCACTCCAGCCTGGGCTACAGAGTGAGACTCTGTCTCAAAAAACAAAACAAAATAAAACAAAAAACCAAAGAACCATATTTTATTGAAATTATAATGACATCAATACCCCAAAAGCTGATGCTGTTCGATAACAAACATTTTCAGGAGACTCATCCCTTGTGAAATCCAGCACAAGTCAGCCCAGGCCCATTGGCTGAAGTGACTCTGCTCCCCTGTGCCCAGGTGGCAAAGGGCATTGTGCAACCTTCTCTCCCTCACACCCAGGATTCACAAATATTCATGGTTTTTTTATATGACTCCCCACAGAAAATAACACATATTCATGTTTTACTTTTCTTCTTGCGTCCCTCCCCATCAAATGCTCTCACTGAATCGTGCTAACATCAGTAACAACAACAAAAATATACTAGAAGATGAAGTAAATTAAGGGTACGAACTAGCAAAATATCTTGAAAATAATTAACATGTCACTAACTCCTTATAACTTACTCAATAATTTGCATTTATGACCTTACATACAATGAAGAGGCAAAACAATGAACCCACAGTAACCTCTGGATAACAAAATAATACGAGGTTCCTCATAGTAACCTGGGCATTGTCACTGGCCCTCCCCCTGTACTGTGCTGACCCCCAGTCCAGGTTGCACAGGGCCCTGGGAATGCAGCTTCCAGCCTCTCCCAACTGTGCTCCTGCGGCCACTGCTTTCCTTTAGCAGACTGATAACCTTGTGTGTCCAATCTCTCCTATAAACTCACCCTATGGATTTTTCTGCACAAGCCCCCTATGCTTCTGTAAAAGCTGCAATCCCATCTCTATATCCTGCCCATGTCCAGGCTCCTCCTCTACCACGCGGGACAGATCTCTGAAAGGCAACAGGCTCCTCTGGGTCATTAGAAAAGAACATCACCCTTGCCACAGCTCAGCCACACTGATTTCCATGGACCTAGCTAAAAAGACAATAGCCCCCAATATGCACAAGAATATGGGGTAGCACTTTAGGTAGCACCTAAAATGAGTTAGATCATTTTTCCCCTAAGTTCTTTGTTGCCAGAAGTAAAGTTCTAATTGTTAGCTTGTGATTAAATGTATTATTAAAGATTTCAGCTCTCCTGAGTTTATAAATTCTGCTTAATTTATCAGAATGCTATTCAAAATCAAAAGATTTTGATAGTTAATTCCCTGAATTTAATGTGCCAAATGGAATATCCTGTCAATGCCACCTGTGAGAGTGCCAGAATACGTACCAGTTTTGATATTACAAAAGAAAAATCTCACTATGATCATACGTAACTTTGCTTAGTATCAAAAATGGTATTAAACATCTTGATCTTGCTCTCTGAACCCAACTATTCCTAAAAATCAAACACATTCTCAAAGATAAAAGATTTCTCCCATTGAGATAGTCTGATGATCTATAGCAAGCTCTGAAAAGTATCTCGACAAAGAAATCCAAAAATGTTTCAGTAATGTCACCATTGTCAGAATCAAAGATGAAACTTAACATTCATAGAGCAACTACCTTGTACCAGGTACTATGGCAGTTATTTTCATAAAGCTTTAATCTTTGTAAAGCCTTGAAAGGTGGGCATTATTAGGTATATAAAATATTCTCATTTTACAGATCAGGAAACCAAGACTCAGAGAAGGAAAGTGACATGTCCAAAAACATGTTCCAGAGTTACTAAGTGGTAGCGTCAGGAGCGTTTGAACCAGAGCTACTCCATCTTGAGTAGGGGCTGGGTAAAAAGAGGCTGAGACCTACTGGGCTGCATTCCCAAGAGGTTAGGCATTCTAAGTCACAGGATGAGATAGGAGGGCAGCATATAGAGGTCCTAAAGACCTTGCGCATAAAACAGACTGCAAAAAGAAGCCGGTCAAAATTCACCAAAACCAAGACTGCAACAGTGACCTCTGGTGCCCTCGTTGCCCAATATATGCTAATTATAATGTATTAGCATGCTAAAAGACACTCCCACCAGCATCATGACAGTTTATAAATGCCATGGCAACATGAGGAAGTTACTCTATATGGTGTAAAAAGGGGAGGAACCCTCAGTTCTGGGAATTGCCCACCCCTTTCTGAGAAAACTCGTGAATAATCCACCTCTTATTTAGCATATAATGAAGAAGTAACAATAAGTATAAGCAACTCAGTGGTCCATGCTGCTGCTCTGCCTATAGAATAGTCATTGTTTTATTCCTTTCCTCTTTTTCCCCCTGAAGCAAAGTCTCACTCTGCCCCCTGCAGGCTGGAGTGCAATGGCACTGTCTCAGCTCACTGCAACCTCCACTGCCTGCATTCAAGTGATTCTCCTGCCTCAGCCTCCTGAGTAGCTGGGATTATAGGTGTGTACCACCACACCCAGCTAATTTAGGTATTTTTAGTAGAGATGGGGGTTTCACCATGTTGGCCAGACTGGTCTCAAACTTCTGACCCTTGTGATCTGCCTGCCTTAGCCTCTCAAAGTGCTGGGATTACAGGCGTGAGCAGCCACCATGCCCAGCCTACTTTCTTAATAAATTTGCATTCACTTTACTTGTGAAGTTGCCCTAAATTCTTTCTTGTGCAAGATCCAAGAACCCTCTCTGGCGGTCTGGATTGGTTCCCCTTTCTGCTAACAGTAGAGTTTGAATTTAGACCCATGCCCACCTGGCCCTAAGCAAATGCTTTAATGCTTTTTCTTCTAAACTTCAGATGATACTCCATGGGCAATTACTCACTCAGTTGTATGTTTTATAGCACATTTTGGAAATTAATTGCATAGTCTCATCTAATATAAATTTTTTAATGTATACTCATATATTTTTTTAAAAGATCAGGTGCAATAATGCTTCTGAAGGTAGTTGATGAAACAAACTCATTTAACACAAAGTGCTGCCTATGGCACACAAATAGGATTTGGTCCTGCCCTAAAGCAGCGTAGGATTAAGTGGCAAAGAAGAACAGCTCTTGGTAAATGGCGGTGGCATAGTAAAAGATGTGTTTCTTGATAAATAATAGGCCAGGCACTGTGCTAGGTGTCTTGGACACGCTGGTGAATACGCCCAACATTCCCTGTCCTAGTAAAGTTTATAGTTTAGTAGGGAACAATGACAATTCAACAGGCAATCATGATGCAATTTCACTTTTATGTACTCCATAAAAGGGGCACATAATGGAGGCATCTAACCTAGTTTTGAAAGAATTAGAGGCTTTTTACAGGATGTGACATTGAAGCCAAGCTCTAGGGAAAAAATAAAAAGTAGCCAGGCAAAAATGGGAGTAGAATCTAGGCAAGAGAAACAGCATGTTAAAGCCCGCAAGTGCTAGAACATGACCAATTTAGGAAGGAGAAAGTCGTTGGG